ATCCTTACATGTTTTTGTTGTAATATCCTAATTATAATTAATACAAATAAAAGCTTGTCACTTAACTGACTGATGTTACCTTCAGCATCCTGATGCCAGAGTTTGAATTTTATATATGTATAATAGTAATTGAATGAAAAAAAAAAAAATCCTAAACTACATGTTTCATCCTTCAAATGAACCGCTTCAGACTAATAATGTTTTTATCAATGAAATCTTATATTTATATGGGTGGAGCAAAATACAACAAATGCCAGTTACAATTCTACATCAAGAGATGCTGAAGATGTAGGGATGCTTAACTCTGGATTTCAATTATTGGCATTTGATATACCTAGATGTAAAAGCTAGCCAATCTCATTCAGCTTTCTACCAGTTTTGCTTTTAATCACTATGTTTTTAAATATCCCATCTTGTAATAGCTTTTTATATTAGGAGATATGTTTTATAAGCCTGGATATAAATTTACCATGGAAGACTCTGAAGTTAGTGCCCTTTCTATACACTTTCACTCTTATAAATTACCTGTTTTTTATAATTAAAACTACATGTGATAAAAACAATAACAAAACCATCAGAAAAGTGAATGAGATCAACAAGGTTTAGCATCTTGATATATCAAACACCAAAGATTTAAATTTAATATTAAGTGTCCTTCTATTTTCAGCATTTCTCAATATAGAATTGTAACTTATGTTTGTTGCATTGTTCTCACCTCTCTCTCTCTCTCTATATATATATATATATATATATATATATATATATATATGTATGAGATTATGTTATGGATTAAGAAAGCCTCTGATGCATTTGCAGCACTCAAGTTTCATATCTAGTCAGAAGGGCATAAAAAAGCAGATAAAAATTAAAATGAAGGGTTGGACATGTCAGTGATGGTCATACTCACTTTGCAAGTTGATAGCCACCATATATGTGTATGTTCACATTGTATTTCATATACATATGTGGCCTATCATCAGCTTTCTTTCTGGTACTGCATGTACTATTAACTATTCTGTGAAAGACATTTGATTCATACCCTGTTAATTCAAAAAGAACACTTTAAAACTTTTATGTAACTATTCCAGACTTTGTCTCAAAGAATTATTACTAACAAGCATTGATGCGAACAATTAACTTGATCTTTAGTAATTTTTATTATTCAAATTTGAATCAGAATATTATATCGAGAATAGACAAAATATTTTTCAACTTGTCTGCATTTATAGTTGGAACATTAAAAGCTCTAAAAAAAGCTTGCAATTTTACACTTGGACTTTTTCATATTTTTATCATTTATTAGAAATAAGCAGTTTCTAGCATTTAAATTTAATTTCTCTTAAATACACCTCTGCAGTCTGAATTTAAGTTTTGTACATACATCCACACACTGTCCAATATCAAACCATCTTCACCAAATTATAAAATGTTAAAAATTAAAAATTTAAGATTATCTTATGGTTGATCATAAAATGTATTTCATTCTCATTCACTATGACAAAATTTTGAGTAGAAACATTACAGTTCTATTCTCTTTATCCATTGCATGGGAATTAATTAATGTTCTGCTTGCAAAGAAATTCATTCATTTTAAGGTTAGAGGTGTAATCATTCGACTTGAGTTTACTTAAAATTTATTTGGTGGAGGATGGGGGGGGGACATACAATGTTACTACGCTTTCACAAGAGTTTTTTCTGATTTGTTTATAGATTATTTTTTTTTAATTTGTGAGGAGATTTAGAAAAAGTCAACTCTGACACACACACAGAGAAAATACTGCATACAAATGGCTGCATACAAAGCTATGTAGTTTTGTTAGAGACTAAAAGAAAAAAACAATTGTGAAATTTGCAATTGTACCATATAATAAATATAAATACAAAAAAAAAATTAGGATAAAACATAATGGTTAAAAAACTAAGTTTTAACTTGGATTAACAAACAGACGTCTTAAGTACATACATACGAACATAAATTCACAAAATACACAAAAAAATTAAATCTATTTCGTATTTTTTTAAACCAAACAACATTTTAAAAAAAAAAAAAAAAAAAAAAGTGATACGTTTGAACTTCCATAGACACACGTGCATGACTGATCCATGTGAATGACATTATTTTTATAAATCCTTTATTTTAAGAATAATCTAACAATGACGTCGAAGCTGCCTAATTTCTGCACAAAAAAATCTGAAAGAATGACGCCATCTGGATTTTGAATGGACAAACAAAAAAAAAAAACGTTAACAACAACAGGAATGTGTCGAAGCCGAACCCACCCCGACCCCATTCATTCCGAGGAAAGTGAAGAAGGGCTTCTTCTTTTTAAAGAAGATTGATTTTTTTTTTCGCATCCGTATATTGAAATGAACCAGTTATGTAACAAGTTAACCAGTTTATTTTTTCTTCTCAATTTGCTCTTGGTGATGTTGGTCGATATGAGCCAAGGTCTAAGGTCAATAGCGAAAAAGAAAAACAAGACCATTATTATTATTGAAAGTCGTCAGTTCAAGCTGGTGAGAAGATACTTTTTAGTTTTTATCAACAAAAACAGAAATAAAATCATTCAACTAACTGCTGAATTATTTCCTTTTTTTTTTTTTTTCAGTTTTTAAAAACAATCAGTTTCAAAAAAGAAATATTCCCAGAAAAAAAAAAAAAAAGACAAAAAAAAGTACTTAAAAATTAGATGAAGAAATAAATAGAATTATTTAATAATTTTGAAAACTTGAAATTCTTTACTACACAATGTAACAAAACAATTGCTTGAAGGGGAAAAAAACCTTAAATATGATTTGATTAAAAATTCTCTAAGATAAACAGCTAAAAACAACATCGTCGATTAATAAAGAAAGAGAAAACGAAAGGATGAAGCCTCAAAATAAAGAAAATGATTTCATAATTTACAAAAAAAAAACAAAAAAAACACTTGGTATCAGATTTTAATATTCAATTTTACTCTTTTAGTCTTTTACTAATGAATTTGACGACGGACGGAATTTGCTAAAAAATGTGATGAAAAGCAAAAACAAAATCTACAATAATAATTTGTCAATTTTGTTTTAAAACGTTTTTTCTTATCTCGTTTGTCTTTTTATTTTCAGTTACTCAAACAAAAATATGAGCCTTTTTATATTTTTCAAATTTAATAATTAAATTTCAGTCGGAAGGAAAATGAAGATAAAAAAATGTATTATCAAAATTTAAATTACTAACAAAAACTATCATTTTTATTCATTTCCATTATTTCTTTCTTACATTGCTTTTTCTTTTACTTCTTCCTTTGTCTTTTTAAAAAGAACGTTTGTATTTTTTCTTTCTTTCATTTTTCAAAATCAAAATATCATAAAAGTCCTGAGATAAAAGTTGAAGAAAAAAAAAAAAAAAAATTAATCTCCCCCACCACCAACCTATTCTACAAAAAGAAAAAAATTACAAAATTGTGAGATTTTTTTCAGGACTCATATTGGGCAAACATTTTTTTTAGCAATCTTTTCTAGATCATAAAAAAAAAAAAATAAACAAAAATGATGTGACCAACAAACATGACATTTGAAAATTATTTAAAGATCATACTGCCCCATGTTTTTATGCAAAGTAATCTTTTAAGGAATTAATTTTGATACTTTTAGTAAGTTTTTTGTTTGTTTTTTTTTTGTGTGGAAGCCAACAGTGATTATTTATTAATTCTGTATTTTTTAAGTGATTTACAACTCATTAAAATTAACGTGCTAATAAAAAAAAAAGGTATTTATTATGAATATGTTAGTGCGATTTTAAAATAAATTATATATCTTCCTTTTTAGTCGCTCTCTTTTTAAACATATTCAATAATTATTTTACAACACTACAAAATAAAAACACAAGATATTTTTTTAATAAACAGACTTCCTTCTTTTCGATGTTAGCAAATTTTTTGCACAAACACATGATTGGATTTATTTTGTTCAGAAACGATCAATGTTGCTATAAAAAAAAAAAAAAAAAAAAAAGGTAATAATAAATATTTTTTACACACGTTTGTTCATTTCTGCGAATTGACTATCAAGCAAAAAATTTTACAAAATCCAACATTTCAACATTTTTTATTTAATAAAAAAAAAAAATAGTATTTTCTTTTTTGTAAAATAATAAATGAGTAGCTAAATTTGAACAATATTTGGATTTACAGTCAATCCCACCCGACAACAAAATAAATGAAAACATCTGGTGTCACAAATTATGATGATCAATTAACATGAAAAAAGAAATATTTAACCTTCGACACTTAACGGTTGAATTTTTATTTGAATAAAATTTTTATCTAATTGTTTGTTTAATTGTAATCGGATCTTTCTTTGCTCAAGTTTTAGGCGAAATATTTTTTGAAAGTGAAAATGTCACCCCGCCTTTTTAATATCAAATGAAGAAAATATTTCTTGTTTGACTAGAAAAAAAATATTATCTTTCTTTTGCCATTAAATAAAACACGTTAAGAAAAAAAAATGACATTAAATATTTTGCAGTCACCTTTTTTTCTAGAGACGAAAATATGTCATTCCTAGAATTTTTAATTATCTGATTTTAAAATTCGCTTGGAAAATAATTGAAACAACAACAAAAAAAATGTTTTCTTTTTCTCTTTTTATTCGGTTAATTTTAATTTTCTGTTATATTGGATTAGATTTTTTTTCAATGAATGATCGCTAAAAAGTAAAAAGAAGATAATTCAAACAAAATTTTAACAAAGAATCGATTGTTTGAGAGAAATTCTTCAGTCAAAACAATGAAGAATAAAGAAATCAAATCCCAAAATGATGGGAGGATTTTTCCGTTGATGTCAATCTTTGACAACAAACAAAAATAAGAGACATAATAAATTAATGCATCTTTCAGATTATTCGATTTATCAAGACAAAACAATGAGATTCATTAAAAACAAATTATCAATAAAACCTAAGAAGAAAAAAAAATAAAAGCGATTCTGAAAAAAATGTTTCTTATCTTTTGATCATCTCACCTTATAAACATCTCCGTACGTTCCACTCCCGACTCGCTGTATAAGTTCGAAATCTTCCTGGGGATTCCTTCGTAAGATTTCCACAGGAGCTGCACACATTGCTGAAGGTGGTGATAATATCCAGCTTTTAAAAAATGCTCAGTATCAGGCAATAATCCTCCCTTTTGACTTCATCGTTTCGTCTTTTCGTGTGGATTTTCTGCTGAAACTCGACATTTTTTCATTCCCAACAAGAAACTGCAAATTACAACATTCGACTTCCGGATCTGCGCACTGACTACCTCTCCATTGTCTAATTAGAGAAAAATAATGACACCAAACTGTTGTAAGCAAAAATTACTTAAAATGTTTTTTAATTTTTTATTTGTAAAATAGAAACAGAATTTTAATTCAGAATATTTAGTTTTAATGTTTTTGCTGAAAACGGAATGCTTAAAAAGATCATTTTGCCTGTGACACATAAAATAAGTCTAAGTGCGGAAAATAACCGGAAGTAAAAACAAATGTGATTTGCCTTGCAATTCCAAATTTTGCAATGTCTTTCAAGTTTTTTTTTTTAAAATAAAAAAAAAATATTTAAAATTTATTTTTATTTACCTCTTAAGGTTTTATACTGCTAACTCAATATCTCCTTTTTTATAATAATTCCTAAAAATAAAATCTGTACATATTGTATTATTGTATAAGAAGAACGACGACATCATTTTAAAAATTAAATATTTTTGGTCATTTCTTTGTTTTCGTCTCGCATCTTTTTTAAACCGGTTTTTTGGAAATATTTTGTCAGTTAAAAGTCGTTTTCAACCTTGAGGTGGACATTTAAAAATACGTAAACCAACAGGCAAAGTTATTTTATTTTTAACCAAAATTCAGTCGTCCTCACCTCCTCGGACCCTTTTAACAGCCACTTTCAAAACAAAACCAACTTTAGTTTTTTTTTTTTTCTTCAATAATGGTTCGGGTAGACGTGGCGTAAGTTATAAAAACACTTTCGGAAAAAGCAACATTAACCAACCCAAGACGAATTACATTTCAAAGATGCATTCCACCCGTAAAAAAAAAATCATGCATCATTTTTTTTTTTTAACATGGCATTTTTTTTCAAGTTCTTCAATTCTCTTCTAATTATCAAAAAAATTAAGAAAAAATATTTACATATTTGACGAAATATAATCGAATTTTTAACCAAAAATTTAATTAATGACTAGGCAAAAATGCTTATTTCCTTAAGTGTCTTTTTTTACTGCGGTTCTTATGTTGTTTTTAATCCCACTTTTCTTAATCAGTGATTTAACAATTGGATAATACGATTTTAACACAAAACTAAAAAGTCAAAACAGATATGGCTCTTAACCAATTCATATGCATCCTTTTTTTAAGTATGGTGGTCCAGCGTTGCCTGGGACAAAGCAAGTAACTAAAAAAAAAAGTAAACAATAAAAACAAATTTGTCAATATGAATATTTTGTGATTTTTAAAAAATTTATTAATTGTTCAAAATCTTTTAAAACAAAAAAAGTCTGTTTTTTAAACAACGAATAAAATAAATAAAAATCGCGATAAAATTAATTGAAAACCAGAAACAATTTGGCCCTAATCAATTAGTGATTGCAGGAATTCATTTGGAGTTAGACATTTTTTCAAATGAACTCGAGCAGAGTTCATTGATTGCAAAGATACCTTTTTATCGTATATTTTTATTTTTTTACTCGTTTAGTGTCTTCCTGCTTAAAATAAAAGGTAGTGTTTATTTTTTTCCATGACAGAAATTCAGAGAACTGCTTAAAATTCAATCTTCAGGACTGCAAGAAGTGCCAGTTATTTTTAAAACCATAAAAACTTTAGTGCACATTTAACCCAATGAATATGCATTAAAAATAAAATTTTAAATTTCAAAGATTCATAGATTTCCAATCACAGATTTAGCAGATAGAAAAAAAACAAAAATTGCTTATGTGGACAGACATCAAAAACGCAATAATTTTATTGTAAATAAATTTTAACTTAAGCTAATAAAAGAAAATCTCTTTTATGCAAATTATCCTTTGTTACAAGAGTAAAGTGTATTTATTTTTAAACTAGCTATTGCAGTTGAAAATGTTTATGATTGTCAATTTTTTCTCCTACATTAACATACATTTGTAGACAGGAAAATTTATTATTAATTAGTACTTTGCTCTATTTTTATTCTAAAAATAGCACATCAATGGAACACATAAATTTCACATAGCACAAAATGAAACATGTAAAAGAAATTCACATAGCACAAAATAAAACATTTAAAATATATACAGCACTGAATGAAGCAAATGTAAAATTAAAAGTACTAAATAAAATGCAATTAAAAACCATATAGCACTAACTAAAACGTAAAATTCACTTAACACTAAATGATTGAAAAATATGTAAAATAAATATTAAATAAAATTAATATATCACTGAATGAAGCATGTAAAATTTAAACAGCACTAAATAAAACACATGTAAAATTCACATAACACTAAATTTAAAAACTTGCAAAATTCACAAAGTGCTAAATGAAACTTGTAAATTTCATCTACTGCTAAATGAAACACATGTAAAATTCATTTATCACGAAATTAAATTGTTAAATTCTTACAGTACAAAAGCACTAAATGAAAATTATGTAAAATTCCTAAATGAAAAATTTTGCACAGACATTTTCTCCTTGTACTAGAATTTAATTGACAGAAAGATATACCATGCTAATGATATTCATTTTATTCACAATGTGCAAAACTAATTCCTCAATAATATATTTTTGTTTCATTTTTTGTATTGATCAGAAGAAATTTTTATTTCAGTTTATAAAGAATATAATGTTTCAGTTTATTTCAGAATGACCACTAAACAGTAATACAAATGCCTACAAGCATAATACATCAAACTACTGTGAAAGCAAAAGGAAATCCAGTAAAAGACACATCAGCCATCTTAGTTAAGACATTGTTCTCAAAGAAGCCAGCCTGAGTTTATCCAAGTCTCAGTTAGTTGACATGACAACTAAGGGATAAGAAATGTGCATAGGTTAAGAGGACATTTCCAGCTCTATCCTTAAGAACTTAGTTAAGTATAATTCATTTGTCTATGAAATTAGTAATTAGATTAGTTTGGGAGAAATTACTACAAAAACAGTATGTCTGTTAGTATATTCATACTTATATCATTGTTTGTTTTTTTTACTTTTTGTTAGTGGTGTTAAATAAAGGTATTCTTCATATAAACTTGTAAACATATTTAATTCACACCTTTATATATATCAAAGTAACAGAAGATCCTAGCAAACAGAGGAAGCTACTCACAACAAACATAATTTAGCAACAAAATATATTCAAATAGCATAGCACTCTCAGAATACATTTGGAACTACAAAAACACAAATCAGAACACAATAATGATAACATGGAAAATAAGAAAAGCAGCACCAACTTAAAATACCATCCCCAAAAAAGTAACCTTTGTGTAGAATACAAAATACTAATAACCACTTTTCTCAAACAAAAGATCAGACATGAAAACAAATTCCAACAATGTTACCTACAACTGCAGTAGTAGTCAGCACCTGCTTGCATCTGAGCATCGGGATCATCATCCTCTCTTCTTATTCTTTTCTCCCCTCTAGTGCCATTGACAGAGATGGCTGTAAAGGCCCAGCCTTCTCTTGAAGACTCATGTGTGGAAGTCACCGAAGAGTGCGGCTGGTGGACGTGACTGGTTGGGTCAGGCTCTCCTGACAGCATGTTACAGATCCTCTTTTTGTTGATAGTTGGAGTCAAAAATCTCGGTTCCCTCTTGGATGGTCTTACGGCCAGAAAGACTGATTTGCAGCTGTGACATTGAGATCTCTGGCGGTTGATCAAACAAAAGAGAAAGGAAGAGGAAAGAGTCTGAGAGAGTTACTAACTGGATGATAATTGTTGAAATTGCAGGTAGATTGAAAAGTTGAGAAGAAAATAAAAAAACCAAAATGCATTGAAAAATAATGCTTTTCAAATAATTCCAAGGAGAATCAAATCCAAGATTAATTATACAGAATTCTTAAGACTGAGCAAAAACCAAGACTACCTGTCCTTCTCCACTTCCCATCGATAAGAAAGAGACCATTAAAGTATTCATGAAGATGTCATACAAAACAAAATTATATGTTGTCAATAAAGAAATAACATTCCTGATTCCTCTGGACAAGGAAAAAAAATCATCTGCTTTGAATCAGCCACCCAGAATAAAAGTATCCTCATGCATTTGTCATTATAATTTCTGTAACATTCGTCCAGAAAAATTTTATATCCAAACGTTAATTCAGATTCTCTTGAATACAAGTGGTAAGAAAAAATTATTTTGAAAGAAAGTTGGGTGGTCTGTTAGATTGAAAAAATGCTTAAGACAGAGAAAAGATAAACTTTCGTTTTAAGGAGAGTGAAATAGATTTTTCTTTCATTTTCCAATTCTTGAGTGGTCTGGTTGATTGAGAGATCCCCAGCATGAGGCAAGCTGATAGATAAGGACTAATGACTGAAAATCCCTTTTGCCTTCACTGTGCCATCTGGAAGTTGGATTTGTCATTCCAGCCCAGGAAGTGGGGTGAGGTTGCCTGCTGAGAAAGTGGGAGAAGGAAGAGAGAGAGAGAGATTAGCACCGCCTATATGAAGGCAAAGTGTAAAGAGAGTAGGAATTAAGGAGTAGCTTCACCCCTTTGACCACTCTCAAAAGGAGGCTGGACAACCCAAAATTTGGAAAACCATTTGAGTAAATGTATTTTTATATATGGAAATGTAAAAAAGGTTGATGCTTACGGTAGAAGATAACCGAATCCAGACCCTAGTCAACCACACCTTCCGGACGCTGGAGATTTTGAACTCAGAAACAAAGGATAGACAGAGAGAAAGAAAGAGAGAGAGAGAGACACACACACACACACATAGTCCCCACACCACTACTACCGGAATCCGCATCGTTCGTCGAGACCTCCTGACCAAGACCTTGTGCCGGACTTAAAGACAAGAACTTAGAAATTTAAGTTACTACTAAAAGAAGCTGCAAACTCCGAAGATCTCAGTGCCATTTGATTATAACAAGTG